ATATATATATATATATATATATATATATATATATATATATATATATATATATATATATATATATATATATATATTTATATATATAAATATGTATATATATATATATATATATACATATATATATATACATATATATATATATATATATGTATATATATATATATATATATATATATATATATATATATATATATATATATATATATATATATATATATATATATGTATATATATATATATATATATATATATACATATATATATATATATATATATATATATATATATATATATATATATATATATATATATATATATATATATATATATATATATATATATATATATATATATATATATATATATATATATATATATATATATATATATATATGTGAAAACTTTTTTTAACATTTTAAATAATATAAATGTTTACCTTGAAAAAGCGATATTAATATTACTAATAAGCGCAAAAAATAGTATTTTTCAATCAACATTTAAAAATATTTAGACTAAGGTTGATAATATAACATGAACTTATTTATTCACAATTTTTGAAGATCTGAAAATAAATGTTTATGAATTATAAACCATTATTAATCAAAGTAATATACATCCATGATATATGCATAGTAACGAACACAGCGTGATTAGAATAACCAGTATGTTTTTATATGTTACTGTTAAATTTTTTTTTAAATATTTATGAATATTTAATCGAATGGAATTTATCAAGTTTATATTATGTAATAGAAGGGAGACAAAGCTATCTATGAATAAAAGAGAACAAAATATATTTTTATACTTGAAGAGTATTCTGAAAAGAAGAGTGAGTCCTAGCAATTTGTTTTATTTTAAGTTAAAAGTTAAAATACATTATTTTTATTTAAACTTGAAAAAATATTTATTCAATAAAGTTAAAAAGAAAAGCATCAATAACAAAGGCCATACCGCATATGTCATTTCCAGCAGTAAACATGATGCTTTCATTTCTAGCAGTATATATGTAATTAAATTGTGGAAAACTCAATTGTGGAAAACTTCAAAAACTTTAAGATACAATTGGAAAAATAAGTTTATGTGAAGTATGATTAAAATAAAATATACTTTTAATGTTTGTATATTTTAAATAATTATTCAGTATCAACTAGTTAGTTGGTGCATTTTTATTAGTTAATAAAAAAAATTTATTATAGCGCTATTTCTTTTCCACCAAATTAGTCAGTATAAAGACGGAGGTTTATTTATGTTTATTAGGAATTCATTATTATTTAACCTTAAGTCTAATATAACTGCAACCAAGGGCTGTGGAGTCAGAGTCAGAGTTGGAGTCGGAGTTGCGGAGTTGCGATATTTTTAGTGGATTCGGAGTTGAAATCGGAGTCGCTAAACAAAATTGCGACTCCGACTCCAATAGTAAAACTTCTCGGTATTGCACGTGGATGTACAAAATATTCAATTAATCTTATGTTCATACTAAACCTCAAAGATTGTTTCCTTAAATATTACCCTATAAATTTTTCAAAAAAAAATTTATAGGGTAATATTTTTTGAAGAATTCAAAGAATTTTTACAAAAATTTTGCTTTGGAGTTGTAGTCGGAGTCGGAGTTGGAGTCGGAGTCGGAGATATACTCAAAAAGTTTTAACAACTGCGTTCGGAGTCGGAGTTGTACTCAAAAAGTTTCAACAACTGGAGTCGGAGTCGGAGTCGTTACTTTTTTTTTTATGACTTCACACCCCTGACTACAACCACTAAAAATTATGAATGAAAGTCATTATTATAACCTTAAAAAACATGATCGTGTATGCGTTATACAGACCACCTTCAGGAAAAACAATTTGTTTAAAGATCACATTCAAAATATAATTAAAATCAAATGGAGTTTAAGGGGTCAGGGCAATAACATCCGTTTTTGCCATGTATAATAACATCCGTGAAATAACATCCGAAATTTTTTCGATGTATAATAACATCCGTGCAACAACATCCCAAATTTCATTGATGTATAATAACATCCGTGCAATAACATCCCAAATTTCATTGATGTATAATAACATCCGTGCAACTACATCTGTAGATATTTACACCCGCCAAAAAAAAATTATTATAATGCATTATTTTAACCAGATGTAGTTGCACATCTGATTTTTTTCGGATGTAACTACATCCGGAAAAAAAATCTATTATAATAGATTATATAACCAGATGTAGTTACAAATTTAATTTTTTTCGGATGTAACTACATCCGAAATGTTGTTTCGGATGTAAGTACATCCGAAATGTTGCTTCGGATGTGACTATAATTTATTTATAAAAATTAATTATTTGAATTGTGATTTTAAAACTGATTGCTTTAAAAATCGTAAAAATAGACTCTGTTTGTTTGCAAAAACATAATAATATTTAAAATACGATCAAAATAGATAGTTTTCATTGCCAAAAATTTAGATCTTTTTTTATGGAACTGTTTAGACTGCTTAGAACACTTAACTTGGACATTAAAACTGGACATCTTTAGCACTCATTGGCATCTAAAAATTCATCAAACTACTTTATTAATACTCTGTCTTTATCCTATAATGAATAGACCCCTATGAAATAGAGCTATCGCTTTCACTCACGGGTTGCCAATTTGACATGCCTGTTTTAAACCTATTTAAAAAGCAGCAAAGCCAGTCATCTACTATGAGAGTATGAGAGTAGGGTGTGTTAATTTTTACTTTTTTTACAATTTTAAAAACGGCAAGGTGATTTTTGGTGAATAATTTTACGGGGATTCCATATCTGAAAAAAAAATTAAAAAAAAATATTGTCTTGCTGGGTGGGTTAATGTTGTTTTAAATGGAAAAATGACTAAAATATGACTAATTAACGAGGGGAAATTTTAATTAAAAAAAATTTTTTTTTTTCAAAATATTTGAAATACGTAATAAATATTATGTTGAATTTTAAGAAAATTTTATATTTAGTTCAAAAAGTAATAAAAATGAACACATAAAGTGAGTTTTTGTAAAAGGTGTTTTAACAAAAATTAGGGAGTTTTTCGTATTTTAAACAGTGAATGAAACAAATTTTTTAAATAAGCGGAGTTTATTATTTTAAAGAATTACACAAGGATTCCGAATCTAAAAAAACCAATTAAAATCATAGGCAGCCGCTACGTGTCCAGGGCGTTTGGAGAGGCGAGCTTGTATGGAACAAATTCCTTTTTCTTAGTTAATAATAATAATTTTTTATTGAATTATAAAAAATTGAAAATTTCGCAATATAGACAACTGTTTTTATTTTTTTTTTGCGTCTATACCTAAGTAGACAAAACTTTTTGAAAAAAACAAAACCTGATGCGGTATCACATGAATTGAACTGCCAACCATGTGGAAGCAATCATAGGGATTTGTTGAGTGAAGATCTTAATAAAGAGGCAGCAACTTTGGATAAAACTTTGTTGTAAAAACGTGTTACTAGCGAACAAATTCGCTTAGAACCACGAAATAATTTTTACCAACCTTATGGACTTTTTACGTCAAAATAATAGACAAATTGATTTCAAATTAATTTGTTTACAACAAATTAATTTGAAATCAATTTGTCTATTATTGTCTGTCCCCAAACCTTTGATGGCAAATTATTATTGTCTGTCTGTCTGTCCCCAAACCTTTGATGGCAAAATACTAACTTTGTAAAATCATTGTGAGTGGGATATAATTTTAAAATGTGTGATAATCTAGATTGGTAACTTTGTAGTTGTATTGTATTGTACACCCTACTCTCATACACACATTTCGTGAGCCATAGACTAGGCCGGATTAAGGTTCTTGGGGGCCGGATGCTAAAAAATATTTACGGCCCCATTCCTAAAATAATGAATGAAGAAAAAGCATATATATGAAATATGTATAGAACTTATATAGAAATTAATATACACTTTGAAATTGGGGGCCCTGCTAGTCCACCAATTTTTATAGGCCGTGCGCCTCTTAGGAGCGCTAGTTATGCAGACATTGCATATAGACAAAAACTCCTTCGTTCAATTTCTTTGTCAAATTTTTTACCAGTTTCTGCAAACCTGTAATAAACTTGGTTGCCCTCTAGATTTTTTCTACCCAATTGCGACATCTCTTTGTATTAGTAACCTATGTGCTGACTAAAGTATATACAAGATTTTAAAAACTTATTACAATAAAAAAAGACAACGTTAAGAGATGGACCTCGAGTCTTTAGCATGCGAGGAATTGCTTAATCTTCTCGGCCACGAACAATTTTTGAACTATATGTAAATTAAATTTATATATACAGTAGAATCCATTTGACTCATTTATTTTTACTAAGTAAAAGTAAAAAAAATAGATTTTTAAAAGACTATTACTAAGTTGGACAAATTTTAAGTTCCCCTTGAACTTTCTATACCTACTGAGAGTCAGATTTTCTTTATAAATATAGTATAAGAATGATATTGTGTTATGCAAAGTTTTTGAAGTCAAAAAATAGATACCTAAGTATTACTAACATATGAAGCACTAAATAGGAAAAGCTGCCAAGTCTATATTTGAACATATAAGTTATCTAGATTTGAACATATAAGTGTTTTTAACAAAGTAATTTAAAAAACTTGTGGTTGACTTTATTTTTGTATTTTTTTCAAGGAGTTTAATCATTATTTATTATTTTTTTAAAATAAATTTGCTAATTTATTTACTTATACAATAAATAAACCAACCAAGTTGTGATACACATTATTAGTGTATAGTCTAACAAAAATACACGTTATTAGTGTTTAGTCTATCAAAAGTCTAACAAAAGTAAATGCTTTAACAGCATTTCAAAGTTTAGTATATATACAAAACAGTGAAACAAAAAAATAAGCGATAAAATATAACAAAATTATATTTTATCACTTTCACAACTTCTAGTTAAAAATGGTTTTATTTGTCAGCTATTCAATTTATGAAAAAATTATGTTGACGGATTGATTTTTTTGATTGTTGTTTATATATAATTTATTGTTGTCTTTTGTTATAGAATTGTTTTATAAATTTTGGAGCTTTATGCCAATTTATTTCATCCAAATTATTAACAGTTCTGTATAGTTTTATCACATCACCTCTTGATCTTCTAATTTTTAATGTGAAGAGAAATGTTTATCAGTGAGTTTTTATGTGATAAATCCTTTAAACTATAAACACGGATTGCTTTATGTTGGAGTTGTCCAATCATAATAGCATGTTTCTGCATATGTAAATTCCTTAATGGGGTTCAATAATCAAGGTGAGGTCTAAATAATGATGTACTATTAATGTTATATTTCTTTTATCTTATAATTTCAAGAAGTATTTGATTTGCCCTAATGTCAAACTTCCAAAGATACTTTTAAAACGCTTTCATTAAAAGTTATAAAGAATTGCCAATAATGATGGTATTAACCTGATTTTTGTTTTATTTTGTTTTAGTTGCTATAATCCAAACCTTTTGCAACTGTAATAATAAAACTCCATTTTATAGGTTTGATGCCTTTTCTAATATTGTTATTTTATATGAAAAACTTTAAATAAAATAATTTTAATTATTAGATTTAATAGTATTGATGTTTTGTTTTTAGAGTTTGTTCGTGATGATTAATGTCCTACCACATAAATGTAGTAAATATAAAAGCAATGGCAATAAACGTAATGTTGACACAAAAATGCCAAATCTCAAGTTAAATGGTTCATCTAAATCTTGAAAGTTTACACTTTATCAAATAAGTTATTACTATTTCTGTTTTCAGTGTTTAAGTGAAGGAAAAGTTGTTTTCCCTTATTTTTACTATTACTAATGACTAGATTTACTGTATTTTTTTAAATAGTCTCCGTGTATAAAAATATTTAGGAAGATTAAGAGGCATTTTAATTTTTATTTTTAAATTTTTTATTTATTTTTTGTTTATTCAAATAAATTTTACAATAAAAAAATGAATAATATACATACAATAAGAGTTACAAACTTTGTGACTTGACAATAAGAACGCAGATACTCGCAGGAGATCATAAGAGTTTGTCATCATGAACCGCCTAAACAGATTTCAAATAAAAAAATGTTTAAGATGCTTCAAATTGTAATTATACTGTGGCAACAGTTTTGATAATAAAATTATAAATTACTTTTTATATACTTTATTTAGAATCTTTTGTGAGTTGAATTAAATATCATGAAATGTCAAATCTCAAGACATAAATTTTTTAATGGAGTTTTGGTCTATAATAATCCAAGTACCACATGTTTTAATAAATATATTTGTAAGTATCCTGCATTTGGTTGTAATTTTAAATTTTCATTGTGATATTCATTGTATTTTAATTCACACAGTTATAAAAAGATCCTTAACTTAAGTCTATGTAACTATGGTTTGTTGTTAATGGATTGATTTTTTTCGTCAATAAAAATAATTGTTATTGTAACATAATAACCATGTTGTTTATAAGTTGTGATCATTTTGTATATATATTGTTACTATATTGTATAACTATATGTTGTAAATTATTAGGTTGTGCTTATGTTTGTTTTTATTTTATTAAAGTTAAAAAGGATGCAAGCACTAAAGAAGACAATAACGTTACAAATTGAAGCAGAAATTTATAACGAATCATGTTAATGATTGGATGTGAATCGCAGAAAAGCATCATTGTCGAATGGCTATGAATCAAATCTTTGTATTATAATTGCGTAAATATATTTTAAAGTTTAGGCCTGTTTATTAAATTTATTCATAATAATTAAAATTGTCAATAATCATGTGTTTAAAACATTTTATTGTCCTTAAACTAATGAAAAATACGCCAATTTTAAACCAAAAAATTACAGTCGATTATACTAAAAACAAATTTAAATAATTAAGAGGACGGGGTCTAAAATGAAAATATAGGGACTTTAAATAGCATTGCCTGATGGAAATCCGTTACAATCCTATGCGCGACATAGTACTGTAAAAGACGTATGTAAAATACATATGTAAAAATGGCTAATCGTGGTTCTGCCAGTTCTTGCCCCGCACAGGCTAGCCGTTGTTTTGCCATCGCTGGCTAGCCACGGCCATGAAAAATTCTAAGAGCAAAACGGAGCTTCGCCAGCGTTGGCTGCCGAAGCCGGTCCAGCGCGGCAGCCTATACAGGACCAATGCGGGACCACTATATCCTTGCTGTCTGGGTATATATAAGTATATATTTGTATATATATGTGTGTGCGTGCGTATATATTATATATATATATATATATATATATATATATATATATATATATATATATATATATATATATATATATATATATATATATATATATATGTATATATATATATATATATATATATATATATATATATATATATATATATATATATATATATATATATATATATATATATATATATATATATATATATATATATATATATATATATATATATAAAGCTTATTTTCAAATTAGTGGTATGTGCTATTATGATTTTATGTGCCATCTTGAAAATTACTTAACTGAAGTAATGGTTGTTTGAAAAATCACTTACTTTATATAAATTAACTTTTTTTAATTATTTTTTAGTTTATTTTTTAATATACAATTATTTACTTTTTTAATTTTGTATTATTTTATTTTTAATGATACTAAGTCTGTTTAATTAAGATGACTCTTGGCGAATCTTGGCCAAGATATCCGATATTGCGCCAATATTGTCAAGCAATATTACGCCAATATTGCGTTACCAATATTGGCAAACAATATTGCGCCTATATTATCCCGTGGCTGAGATCGGCCCCGTAAAAATACGGGTCTTTGTATATCTATTCCAAACCGAATTTTTCTATACTTTTTCCTTTTATATTCTAGCTTTACGGGTCCGTAAAATAAAGGTCTTTACCAATTTACATATCTATTTCTAGCCGAAAATTTCTATACTTACTCCTTATTTACTTTAACATTTTTTTGTAGAATAATTTATTCTGAAAAAGAATTTAAGAGCAAAAAACTAAATTTGCGCACCTTTTCCGCATACGTAGAGCTTATAAGATACTTATAATTAGATTTGTTTTTTCTGCTAAATCCATTTCATTGATAGCTCAGTGATTAAGTGCGCTATCATCAGTGTTGTTTTGGAGGGTTTAAGACCTCCTCTTAGCGTAATAAGTTTTGAAGTTTTTTCAATCTTGCTTATATATTTATAGCAAAAAAATAATAATATTGCAAAAAAGAGTCCTAAAATTTAAAATAAAATTTTAAAGTTTTCTTATTTTGTAGATATATAAATAGACGCAATTATTCAATATAATGCCTGGAAACTCAACAAATGCTAAAGTGACATTTACACTTACAAACGTTTGTATGTAACGTTATACAAATGGAACTAAGAAGATCTTAGAGCACTAAAACATAGTCATTAAAAAAAATTCATTCTTATGATTAAAAAATAAAGAATAAAATTAAACACTTATCTAAAAGTTAAGCCAAAAAGATTTTGCGCATTGACGTCAGTTTGTGGCAAAATAAACCTTTATGCGTCAAGTTTCCTTTGGCATTTATATTACATTTTTTTATTAACTTTTATTATGTTGCATACAAATGCATTAAAGTATATAAATCTGGTAAAGATATATCATTTTCACGGATAAAAGATTGTATTTATTACAATAATAATAAATAAATAGTTTTGGAGCCATTAGTAAAGGACGTCATCATTTTTAGCCAATTTTTGATCCCCTCCCCCCTTTATTACCTGTTGTTCTTTTTCCCTATACCCCCTTAAAAAAAATGTCATAAATTCCTGCCCCCTCAACCAAATTAAATCCCCCAAAAAATTATTTGATCTCCCTATGATGTTTGAATCTGCTGCAACACCTTTGAAAAATAAAATTTAAAGTACTCTTATACATTATCTTCTTAAAAACACATATTTACATATTTTTTTATGTTAATTAAACTAAAATAAAAAATCTATAGAGTGACGTCCTTTTCTGACATAATCCCCCCTCTCCTTGTTCTTTTTTGTCTTTTATATCTTGAACCCCTCCCCCTCTCCCTATTTGGATGACGTCCTTTATGGATGGCCCCTTTTGTCTTTATTAAAATATATCCCATAAAAATATATTCCATATATCTTTAATAAATAGAGTTTTTATAAAAAATTGAAATAAAATCTTATTTATATGACTATCATTTTTAAAGGTCTAAGAAGTAGATGACATAACTTTAGAAATCAGAAATTATCGCGAGAGGAGCGAATCTAAAATTGAAGTTTTAAATTTTTTAACTCGGATGTGACAATATGTTTCGTGTTTTTTTAATCTTGTCAATTTTTTTAAATATATTAACATAATTACAAAAAATCCAAACAAAAACAGCTTGAGCAAAAAAGAATTGTAATTATTAGAAAAGTTTACTTATATTACAGACCCAGCCGGCACAACTCAAAAAATACAATATAATGGTGCTGTACACTTAAAGAGTGATGAGTCCAAACTACGTAGAGTTTGTAACTTTAACAGCTGTAACACACGAACATACAAACATAATAAAAGTTAGTATTTAAAATGTTCATCCAATTTTTTTTTTGAACTGGTTGATACTGACTGCGTCTATTGTTTCTTTTTCAAGATTGTTCCAGTCGTTTACTACTCTATTTGTGAAAAAATTATGTCGTTTTATATTTCGTGTATACTGCCTTCTCAGTTTACTATTGTGATTTCTAGTTTTATATCCGTTATCTAGCATTTCGGGTTTTGTGTAAAAATTTATAATATCGTACCCTTTCAAATATTTGAACATTTGTATCAAATCACCCCTTCTTCTTCTGTTCTCCAACGATAGTAAATCCAACTTCTTTAACCTCTCTTCATAACTGTATCCTTTCAAAATTTAATTCTAGAAGCTCTTTGTTGAACACACTCTAGTTTATCTTTTCACACTAACGATAAGGTTTCCAGATAGGAGCTGCGTATTCCAAATGTGGACGTACTAAGGCTATAAACAAAAGTTTCATTGTTTTTTCGTCTAAATATCTAAAAGTCTGTTTGATCTGACCTAGCTTTTGATTTGCTTTATTTACTGCTTTATTTACATGGTGTTTCCATTCCAAATCATCTGAAATGTACACTCCTAAATCCTTTTCCATGCTTGTGTAGGCTAAAGCTGTATTATTCATTAAAACTTTGTGCTAGCTATTTCCTATTATCATAACCTTACATTTTTGCTGGTTGAATTTCATCAACCACTCATTCGACCATTCCATTAATAAGTCTATATCTTGTTGAAGTTCAATAATATCATTATCGTTTTTTATTGCTCTAAGGATTTTCATGTCGTCAGCAAATAGTTTACAGCTTAATTTTATTTTTTTCTTGGAGATATCATTAATATACACTACAAATAATAGTGGTCCTAGCACTGATCCTTGTGGTACTCCACTCACGACCTCTTCCCATTCTGATTTATTATTTTCTTATCACCATTCTTTGAAGTCTGTTCTTTAAAAATCCCTGGCACCAGTCAAATAGTTTTGATTTAAAACCAAGACTATTGAATTTTAACAATAATCTTTCGTGATCAACTGAATCAAACGCGTTGGCTAAGTCCAGAAACAAAACTATTACATCCAAACCATTATCAATTGAACTTGTGATAATATCTAGAGATTCCAATAAGTTGGTCACACTGCTTTTATTATTTACAAATCTATGTTGGTTTTTATTGATTAATTTATTTTCTACTAAATGTTTCATCATTTTATCTTTAATTATTTTTTCCATGACTTTACAAACTACAGATGTTAAAGATACAGGTCCAGGCGCGGATCCAGCATTTTTTGATGTTTGAGATAACTAACTTCCAGACATGGAACAAACTCCAAAAATTTATATGTTTATACTTATGTCAAATAAAGATGATTTGCAAAAAATTGCGACGATTGGAGTCTGGGAACAAAAAAGCCCCAAAATTTTGGCCACACAAACCCCAAACAAGAGAGCAACAAGTTGATAAAATGTTTTTTGTACAATTCTTAAGTAAATTTATATTCATCGATAAATTCTAAATTTCATACAATAATCTCTTAGTGTTCAAAAAACATGACCTTACAAAATTTGTAACCCCCTCAAATTGAGGGGGTTTAAGCTTTGTGCAATTATAATTTTTGAACACTAAGAGATTATTGTATGAAATTTAGAATTTATCGATGAATATAAATTTACTTGAGAATTGTACAAAAAATATTTTATCAACTTGTTGCTCTCTTGTTTGGGGTTTGTGTGGCCAAAATAATGGGGCTTTTTTGTTCCCAGACTCCAATCATCGCAATTTTTTGCATATCATCTTTATTTGACATAAGTATAAACATATAAATTTTTGGGGTTTGTACCATGTCTGGAAGTTAGTTATCTCAAACATCAAAAAATGCTGGATCCGCGCCTGAGGTCTATAGTTGCATAGGTTCAACTTGTCACCATTTTTAAACAGTGGGACGGTATTTGCACACAACCATAATTTCGGAAGTTTACCCGTTTCAAATAATTTATTAAACAATAACGATATTGGTTTGCCTAAAGTAGATTTGCACTCTTTTAGAACTTTTGGGTGAACTCTGTCCATTCCAGTTGCTTTATTAGTGTCCAGTTTGTTTAAGTATTCTTCATCAACAGAGGCATTAAAATCTGGATTTCTACAGATTTTTTGTGTTTCTATATCTATTATTGGAGCAGATA